TAAACCCTAAACTCCCTAAACCCCCAACCCCCTTTATGATCACCCAAGCCGTTTAATCCAGGTCCAAGAGTTCATAGGGCCTTTGTCGCGGACCGCATTCTGCTGGACTGCTTACCGTTCAACTCAAGTGTTTCCCTAAGGGTCCAAGGACCCAAATAATAGCGTCCCTTTAAAGGGGATATATAGGGATATATGGGGACTATATAGGGGTATATAGGACCCAAATAATAGGGTTTTACGGCCCAAATACTATAATCATAGATGGTATTTGGGCCCTAAAACCCGATTATTTGGGTCCTTGGACCCTTAGGGTTTGGTTTCAAGTAAATGCGGCTTGGGTTCAGGCTTTAGGGTTTAGGGTTGAAGGTTCAGGGCAATGTGGGGTTATTCTGCGGATCCAAAACGAGTGCATAGAGGACTCTGAAGCGAGTGGGCCCCAGCCTCATTCTGGAGTGGCTGGAATAATTCAGATCCTTACTTGGAGGCCCATGGGACTTAGTAACTACTTATAACTGGACTTATAGCTCTACTTATAATCCTCCAAGTAGAAGAAGCTCCCAAGGATAAGGGATGCACAGTTTGATGAACTTCTACGACATTGCAGATCTTCCCCGAACTGTTTTGCTCGGAGCGCTCTTTGAAGTTCATATGGGCCGTAGTCTAAACTCCCTAAAGCGGGTTATATAGGGGATTATATAGGGTACTACTGTAATGGTTATTAAGAGGGATACTAGGATTTTAGACCATGGCTCATATGTCCAAAAATTGTGCCTGCTTGTGTACCAGCGGATTGTGAGGTTCTCCAAAATGTTGGTCTCTCGTCCCTTTGTGCTTGAGTTCTTTCTTAAGAACCATAATACAGCCTGGGAAGACTCCCAGATCCCACATTCTCCAAGAACCACCAGCCCAAAATCTGTAGATCCCAATTCACAGCAACACACAAAACTGCATACCAAACCTGCAGTAGGCTAGCGTTCAGGTTTAGGGTTCAGGCTTTTGGGTTCAGGGTTTAGGGTCTAGAGTCTAGGGTCTAGGTCTTAGGGTTAGGTTCATTGTTTCGGCCTTGGGGTTTAGGTTTTAGAGTTCCTACTAGGTTCGTTTTGCACTTGTTCGCCAAACAGGAAGGAGTAGAACTTGGTGCAATATGTTAGCGAAGATGGAAGGAGGCCTGTGTTGTGTTTTTCTCCGAAAAAATCAATCACTTGCCTCTTCGGTAGAAGCTCAATCATTGTCCATATGCCTCCCTTACAATCTTTGCTTATATGACGATCGTATACTTTATTCTGACAAATTATGGGAGCCCCTACCTACAACCTCTAGTAAACCTCTCGATACGCTCAATGTCCGCTACATTTTCCATGTTCTTTCCCACTGTATCCCCATGTTCTTTTGAACTTGGTTCTCCAACAGTCTAAGAACCCCACTTAACACCATCGCTAAATCCCTAAACCCTATTCAAGGCCCTCTCTTGTTTTTGCGCTTTCGGCGCATAAGTTGGTGTGTTGTTGCTTTCAATTTCCAGCGGCGACCTGCTCAAAAAGACTCAGTACCTTGACCCCCAACGCCTGTTGAATACTGGTCCTTTTTTTTGGTTGCTTCTTGATAACTATGGGGTTTGGGCCATGAATTTCATTTATTTGGGTGGTTTAGGCAGAGAAGTTCCTAGTTAGGGACATCACGGAGCACGGTCCTCCTCATTTGATTTCCATTCAATTTCGAGGTGCAACAGAAAGCCTGCAAGACTGAACCCTACTCACTAGAACGTCCCTAAACCCTCAACCCCAAACCCTGAACCCAGAACCGCGTATCCTTTAAACCCTGGGCCTCTCGTATGAGCCCTTAACCTTGGGGCCCCTATGTACCTAGTATATGCCTTCTACGTGCCCTTAAGGGCTTCGAATCCTCCAAACAAGGGTGAAGGGCCAAATTCACGGCCCACCATATAGTCCCCCTCAAGCAGATAGAAGCTGGGGTATACGGGGATCTTATAACATACCCAAAGCCATATTCTATCTACTTAAGGAGCCCAAGACCCTAAACCAACCTTATGACAAGCACCAGCCCTTGAAGCCCCTAAACCCTAAACCTCCTGCGCAGGAAAGAGGAGTTGGATCAGTTCCGCGAGTTTGACCACCTTATCACCGGCGAGAAGGCCCTGTGACTTACGGGTTAGCAGGAAATTTCGTGTTCCCAAAATTAGGGTTACCTAGGGAAACTACCAAATTAAGGAATGGAAAAGCAAAGGCGCCATAGTCTAAACCCTTAGTATCCCCCTTAATAACCCTTTCGTTAGTCCCCTATATAATCCCCCTTTAAGGAGTTCAGACTCTGGCGCAAATGGAAGCTACGATGTTCTTGGGGGTTTTATGGGGGCTTACTAGAGGCAAGATGATTTGCAGAAACAGAATTTGGAAGTAGTCTTTGCACGGACTTTTCTGGGGTTCCAGGTCAGTTTGAGGGAGGGCAGAGATTCCCCCTACCCTTCGAGATTTGATCATACACTTGATAGCTTCAAGACATCCAACGCGCAGAAAACATGCGAATTTCAAGATGAAGCATTTTGAGCGTTTGGGTGCACAGCACAGCACCATGCACGGCCCGACAAAATGAAAAAGGCCCTACTCTTAAACGCGAAATCTTTAGCAAGATAAGGGACGAGTCAAACTGCAGTTGATATTACATTCCTGCATGAGCCTAAGCACCTTGTACCCTGGGTATTAGGTGCGTGTAGTATACGAGCATCATGCAGGGCATTAGTATCATCAGTATGTCGTTATGGTCCATATCAGAGGCTGTAAGCCCAATGAACAGTTGCTAACGCAGATCGTAAGGATGGACCCAGGAGGTCCAATATCCTTTAATTAGGGAATTTGTTTAGGGTTTAGGGTCTAGGGTTTAGGGTTTATTATACTAGGGATCCCTAATAGAGTTTAAGGTATATTCCCGAATCAAGGGATAGGTTCTACTTCCTGGGGACGTAGACTTTCCCAGTCTCAGGCGGCTTGCTAAACTCACAGGCGTATTGCTTCGGCACAGCTGGCTTGATGAAGTCATGTGGGTTGTTCTCAAGGGTTCGGCCAGCGTGATGGGCGCTCTTTCAAAACTTTGGAAGAGGGGGGTGCGAAAGGAAGGGCCTATGTAAACTAGGTTCAGGTCCCTGCCTGAAACCTCAACCCCTAGACTACCCCTGTCGAGGCCCCTCAACCCTGAGCCACTCGGCCGAAACCCTAAAATCCTCAAGTCCTAATTTCTCAAACGCCCTACAATCCTGAAACCCTAGACCCTAAATCCTAAACTCTAACCCCTAAATTCTAAACCCTAGACTCCTCAACCCCAAATCCAACTTCCAGGCACGGGAGGAGGCGAAGAACGCACCTCCGGAGGCCCAGCCGTAAGGGTCTGACGGAGGTACAGGTCTTTTAGGGTTTAGGGTTTAGGGTTCAGGGTTTGTGGGTGTAGGGTTTAGGGTGTTAGTGTTTAGGGTTCAGTGCTTCAAGCTATAGTCCGGTTTTTTTGCGTTCAGGAATTGGGCTTCAATAGGAGGTCAGTGTTTAGAGGCCGGGGTTCACGGTTTCGGGTGCAGGGCCCGCGGTTTCAGCGTTTAGGATGTAGAGTTCAGGTTTATTTGAAGGGGTTTATGGGATTCACTGGCTAAATACCTGTGAACTAGGCCTATACCATACCTTGCTGCTACTCGCCCTAACTGAACGTATATAGATTAATTCTTCCCAAGCTTAGAGCTCCAGTTATAGGTACGCACTTTAAGTCCCTTGAACCTTTAAGCAGACCCTAAACCCTAAACCTTAAAACCCAAAA